AAGTACAGGTACATGCTGTACTGCGTCAGTATACTGAGCTTTGTGCACACTTGATCAGGTGGCTGAGGACCAAGAATAAGGAGTGCCAAGTTGGCAGAGATCCAAGCCAAATTACACAAAAATGTGCATTTCAGTTCCCGTCGGTTGTCTCCTGTGGACGCCCCACCCCCCACCCGTGGAAACAGACAAGAATGGACACAATCAAAAAAAAAAAAATTATAATACAACGAGTCAACTCCAACAACAAAAAACTAACAACAACAACAACATCTGAAACCTGAATCCAACTTCATGAGTCATTTAAAACAACAAATATGTAACAATGAGCTACTGTACACGTAGCTTCATCTGTGATTTCTTTCCTGGTGGTGTTCAGACTCAGAACGGCACACACCAAAGCAGCTTTGGAGCCTTCGAGAGCCACAGTTTTGTGTGTGTGTGTGTGTGTGTGTATGTGGCTGGAGTGGGGGTGTGTAGGAGGAGGGGGTCTCGGCTTGTCTTTTAACCCTCATCTGAGCCTTTGCCACCATAAAGGTCAGTGCTTCGACATCTGCTGCACTCTCTGAAGCCTTCCTTTTATAAAAAGGATGGATGGAAGAGGAGAGCACCCCAGGGAGCGGATGCACGTGCGCACATGCACGCACACACACACACACACACACACAACTTTTTATGTGTACAGTCCACAAACTCTCATTCGATGAGATCAAAACAACCCAGAAGCCTAAACCACACGCTCATGGTGGCAGATACAGGAACACCAGTTTTATTTTAAAAAAAAAACAGCTCAGTGGTTTATTTTCACCAGAGATGAGAAGATTGGCTTCTGGCCTGAAARATGGTTTTTTGTTTGTTTTTGTGGCAGGAGGAAAAAAAGAGGCACAGCTAAATGGAACAGGAACCCCCACCTCCACCCCACCCCCCGGGGGGCACGGCAAATGTGTGCTTTTATCATCTCAGGTGAACAGTGCGGCTCTTTCAGCGGAACAGTCCAGGTTCTCTGGACGCAGAGGAGGAGGACACAGAGTCAACGTTTTCACTTTCGACTCTCCGACACACAGGAGGCAGGGATTTGTGGCAGTTTGCTGCAGCCTGGAACGTTCAGACGGTGCTGACGGCGAGGAAATGACTTGCAGTGATTTTAAACGGAGGGGGGAAGGCACCTATTAAAAAAATGTATTTATTCACACGTGCTGAATTCTTGAACTTTTTGTCTGGTTTTCATTTTAAGCAAAACGGGAATCTTTTAAGGCTGTGGGGTCTCAAAATCTGGTTACTGCAAAAACAAATAAACARAATTTAACAAATGAACTCCTTAATGTTAGGTACTAAAAAAAACAGCTCATCTAATCTACATAAAATAAGCTTGGAAGAGTTTACTCCAGTGGTTTTTCTGATTTACTAATACGCATTTCTGAAATGTGGGTATGCACTCAATATAAACAAAATCGAAATCTGCAGAAAATGTGACTGACCTACATTAGTCTGTGTAGGTAAACAAATGGGATAAGCTTAAAATTAAGAAGATATTTAAGTTTAAATGTAAGAGGTAAAAAAAAAATAAGATAACCAAACAACTCTTACACGAGCGTTGCCACTGTTAACCTATTTTCAGTCACTTTAGCTGTCCCTGTAGGTAAACAAATGCTCATGGTATCCTGTAGAGCTGCATGATATGTTGTTTGTGCATCGTCAACATAATGTACGTGTGTGCAATCATCACATTATCCAGGGACTACGCCGTAAGTCAGTGCAATAAACGATTGCGTGCTATGGCTTTTATTTTGACGGGGTTGCTTCAGCCAGTGGAAACGAGAGGCTTTGTGTCAAAACTATGCTCCAACAATAAACCAATGGAGGTAAAAGCGAAYAATTCCAAAACCAAAAAATGAAATTGGACCATATAAATTATACATTTGGTTAAAAGCAAACCGTAAAGGAAATCGTTTGTTAAAAATATAATTTACTGTTAAACACAAAATGTTGTTGTATTTGTTAAAATGTGGATTTATTTGTTTTTCAAATTTGACAATGAAATGACTTTAAAACATAGCATCAGCTTCAGGTTTGATCAYAAAGCACTAGTGRTGTAACGATACATCAATCTATATCGATATATTGATTTGAATGGTTCATGATTCAGTTATATCGAGGCAAAAAGAAAATATTTATCTATATTGTCATCATATGCTCGATGGGAGTCGATRTCATATGACTGTGTTAGATGGGCATMTGWTATCGCATTATATCTCGATCGCAGACATGTGAATTGAATTTAATCGAAATCATATCATGACAGAGTTTGTGATAAAGAAATATCGACTTGTCATCCAAACATATCGATGTAATATCGTATCGTGATAAAGCTGGTGATTTACACCCCTATAAAGCACCATTTTTGTAAAAGGAAAACCTATTTCTTTACTCTCACATAAATGTACATGAAAAATATACAGTAGGAATATACAGTATTTTACTACTAAACGCTAAATGTTTTGTTAAACTAAAACAGATATCACTGTATATTCAAAACTGTGTTCATTTTAACTAAATTGTGGGTATTTTACTGTTTAATTGTTGAAATGTTATTATTCCAGCATAATAAGACACTTAAAGTGGAATAACATGGTTAGTTTAGAAAACGTGGAACTCCAAAAAATAACATTTTGAAGAAAATAAATCTATTTCATCGACTTTTTTCAATAGTCAGATTTGCAGACTTAATTAATCATTGTCATTAAGCAAACTAAAACACCCAAATAGTGACTCTCAGCCCTGATTCAATGGCATTGAAGAAAGCTGTAACAACCCTGTGGTTATGGAGCCCCTCCCTGGGTAAAAAAAAAACCCAACAACATTCACACAGAGAGAGGCTTCCTCCAACAGTTGCTGCAGAAAAAAAAAAAGGAAAACAAATCTGCCACAAGTTAAAAAAAGGGACCCTTATGACACCTTAATTTTCTGTTAAACCTCTTTCATCCTTATTGCACAACCACACCGCTTGGTTTTTCCCACACTGGACCTCCGCCCCACCCAGTTTCAGGAAAACACACGAGAAATCTGGAGATATCATCTGGACAGGTGGCCAGCCACCCAGACCTGACCCTGCTGCCCTCTGGCTTGACCCCCACTTCTCCCTCTCTCTTTGCAGCCCCCCCCAACTGAATTTGGTTCAGGTCTGCTGGAAAGTCCCCAAATGAACATGCATGCACAGCAACCCCCACCCCTCACCCCCTTGCACACACACACACACACACACACACACACACACACACAC